ATATTCTCTAATTTAAACCCTGTTGTATATATGGTTCTGTAAAGAAATGTTGTTACAATGGTCCTCTATAGCACCAAAAAGGCTTCTGCTATTGTTCCAAGTCAAAGAACCTTATACTTGGTACAAAACAGAAAGCATTTTGTTAAAAGTGGAACACGTTAGAACAGCACTGCTCAAAATAGGCAAGGCCAAAGTTACCATGTAAGGACATTTAATTAAGTCCAGCAGAACTTTGGCCTATTTGCCCTTAGAAAAGTCACTTAATGAGAGAACAAATTTTTATTCAACTTCTTAGTTTTCTTAACAAAAACGATTAAGTACTATTAGTTACTAAACATACTGTACCAATAAGAAGTTACAAAATATTAAAAAAAAAACACTATGACAACCTTGCTATCATTATAAAACACACTGTCATTGTACCAAAGGAAATGATAAACTTACTCATTATAGAAACACTAAGAATAACCATTTTCCACCCTGTCTTTAGTCCAGTGACTTCTCTGTTTTTTGTTACTGTGCCATTATGACTAACATATGTAAATGAGCTCTGTTCTGGTTGGTTGCTTTGAATTGTGCCTCATTGAAAAAGGGTGCAACACTTCCTAGAACTTTAATATGAGTGGGCGGAGCTAAACTGCTGTTGTCTGAACAGGTGGGGGTATGCAAATGAGCTGAAAAACAATGAACACAACATGGGCTGTTTTTGCAGCATTGTTTTCCAAATATGATCATGTGGACTGGGGAGTGAATGGTATATTCTAAAGCTTTAATAATGTTTACACATTACTTCAAACTACATTTTGAAAAAAGCAAGAGAATTTGGTTTTTCATAATATGAGCCCTTCAATAGTTAATTCTTATTATTATTATAATATCTATTATTATAATCTATTCATTTCTTTTTTTTTAATCTTTGAAACTTATTATTTGCTTTGTCTTGTGGTGTAATAATAGCAGGTATCGTTTTAAATTTTTTATTTAGTTTCAACTTTTTTTTTTTTACTGGAATATATCTGGGCAAAAGGTTGTCAAGTAGCTATGTGCGTAAGCGACAGCCACTTGCTTTCGGACGCAGCATGACTCAGCCAGGTATATAAAGCAGAGTGACTCACGCGGCTCACTCTCTCACTCGCTTACCCTTTGATTCTCCCTCTCTGATCTCTGTGGGGTAAGTGGAGAATGTGGTTGTGAAAGAGCAGTGAGCGTTCAGTAGAATATGGCATCGTACACACATCCCTTACTGACAGATTTACTACACCCTAAAATTTCGGTCTGCACTCCTACTGTCACTGCTGCTTTAAACTCTATTTATGCCTGCCTTTCACAGCCAAAGGCCTGCTGTTATATCACAAGCTGTACCATTCTGTACTTCACACCCTTCAAAAGTTTTAGCAGTTGAAAAGTTCTACACACTTAAAAAGATGGTCCTACAAAGGTTCTTTTTATAGAACCATGTTTGATTAAAGGATTCTTTGCATGGTGAAAGGGTTCTTCAGATTTTTGTAAAATTGCTGTAGATGGCTGTATATGGACTGTTTTTGAAAAGGGTTCTATATAGCACCAAAAAGGGTTCTTCTACTGTGACAAGCCAGACATCGTAACAATAGCAGAGCTCTTTCTGGTGCTGTACAGAACCACCTACAGCTCATTCTCCATCAATCTGAAGAACTCTTTCATGATTCAAAGAACGCTTTAATCATGCAAGTCTTCATGGCTCTCTATAGAACCAATTTCTTTCCTAAAGAACCTTTGAAGAACCATCCTTTTTAAGAGTATACCTTACCATACAGGTCTTACATACAGTCACTCTTCAAAAAGACAGTTCTTCAAGGGTTCTTTAGTAAAGACAATGGCTCTATATAGAACCATGAACACTCAAAGAATCATCTGCAAGCTTAAATGGTTCTCTGGATTAGAGAAAGTGTTTCATATGGTTCTATACAGAACCTTTTTGAAAGTGCTTTCACACAGCGCTAAAAAGGATTCTTTTATTGTTACAAGCTTGACATCAAAAAGGTTCAATACAGAACCATTTACAACAAATTCTCCAATCTGAAGAACCATTTCACCATGCAAAGAACCATTTAAGCATGCAAATGGTTCTTTCAGAGTTCATGGATCTATATAGAACCACTGTCTTTACTAAAGAACTTGAATCTTTGTTAAGACTGCATGTTTTAACTTATTTTCTAACTGGAAAAATCAGTTAACACATCCTCTACTGCACAGGTGTGTTTGTAGCAGAGAAATTATTATAATGTACAGCGTAGGGGGTTCTCCAGGACCAGGCTTGGGAACGACTGCTCTACAGGGAACAAACAAACAAATTTATATTTCTGCAAATTGTAGTGCACAATTTTTATTTATTTGCTGAGTTTAACATTGGAAAAAAATAAAACACAAAATATGAATGTGCCATAACTTTTGCACAGGCCACGTTTCATGTTTTAATTTTTTCCCCCAATATGTTAAATTCAGCAAATAAACATTAAAATGTGCAGAAATGTGTGCTCTGCAGAGAATGCATTAACTTATTTTTAGGTCAACAAAATCAACACTTGATTTGACCAGACTTTTGCTTCCAATGAAATATTCAAAACAAACTGCAGTTGCCAAACAAGGCCGCCATGATTACTTGATTAATCTGAATTACTTGAGCAAAAAAACAAAACAACAACAAAAAAAAAAACAACGATTTGAATACCTGATTTAAATATAAATTTACCTCAGTGACAATTTCTATGATAATAATGCATATTTAGAGTCTACAGAAACCATAACGCATTTCCATCCGTATCGTAAGTGATAGAGTATCAGTGAGGGTCTCTGAGGTAGGTGTGGTGGGTTTTTCTCTCGATGATAGGTGGGGGTTGTAGGGGTGGGAGGTGAAACATGATATTGTTACTATTGTTCTTCTGACCTGCTGGCGCAAGCTGATATAACCGAAAATGAGAACATGTTTTGGACATTTTGATGGAAGATTATGGAAAAACTTTAATTTTGTGCCAAACCTTTAAAATTTAAATCATAAAAAAATTCCACAAGTAAAATGTTAAAAATAAAAATGTAAAATATTGTTGCAAATACAAATAATAAGAGTGAATTCTAACTTTCTATTCAAAGATATTCAATCATTCATTTTAACTAGAGGTTTGGGGCCCTTGCTGTCACTTTTTTTTCTATCCACAGATTTTGCAGAGATGTTGTTTTCCGTCTGGAATCTTTCCTTTACTTATGAGTTTTGACATATTTTGTGTATGAGTGGGTCTTTTAATTATTATTATTTGTATTTGAAACATATTTTTTACATTTTGATATTTCATATTTTGGTTTGAATTGAGATTTGTGTTATATTATTTAAAACCTGGGACGTAAAAATGATCTGTCTACTGGTTTGGCCTTTTAATAAAAAAAAATCTAGCCATCCATTTAATCGTCAAAATAACACTTGATCACTAATGTAATCGACAGTGACAGTTGAGTGGTTAGAAGATATTAGAGGTTGGGATGTTTCTGCATATTTTGGCTCGTCTGTGCCTGCGAGGCTAATCAGAGCTGAGCTGCTTCTACAGGCAGTGTTTATTAGAGGAGTTCAGTGGAAGCAGATGCATGCTGTAACTCAAACCTCAGCACTCACTTTCAGCCTTTTGACACCTTATGTTTCCACACACAGGCACTTGCACACTCATGCACACGCACAGAGAGAGAGAGAGCTTTATGTGGAAACCAAATCCAACATGACTAATTATGCTCTCTTTGTATGAAAACATACACTTGACCTGTGATCTTTACGTACTGACAACACTCACAAAATGCACAGAAACCACACTGGAGCATAACTTATAGTGATAATGATAAAATATAGTCATATTGCCAATCCCTAAGAGAGACACAGTGAGACAGAGAGAGACACAGGGACACAGAGAGCCACAAAGAGACAAAAAGGACACAAAAAGTGACACAGGGACAACGAAAGAGACACAGAAGCACAGGGACACAGAGAGAGATGCACAGAGAGGCACCAAGAGACACAGAGAGACATACGCAGTTGCATACAGACACAGGGAGAGCTGCACACAGTTCCCATTTAAACTAAATACCTCAGCAAGCACAGGCTTGGGGTCTCGGGGGTCGTAGAAACAACACTTAATTTTTGCACTGCAACATTAATCATCCTAAAACTGAAGGCAAATCAATGGAGCCCAATAAAAGAGGCATGCAGCATGAAAGAGAGAGATGAGTGTATGTGTGTGCGCGCTATGAAGTGTGAAGACTGCACTCTGTGCACAGTTTATTTCAGGTAGAGAGAGAGAGAGAGACAGAGAGAGAGAAAGAGAGAGAGACAGACAAACAGGTGCAAAACTTCTGGATACAGCTACTTGGCCATAACTTCAAGTCTGAATTATACTGGGTAAATAATTTGACATATTAAGGTCAGATACAAACCTCAGGTTTTTTTGTTTTTGCTTTTAGAAAAAGGGCACAAGCAGCACATACCGCTTCCTACGTTAAGCCAAGTGGTCACATCTATGCAAAGCTGTATATGAATTTATTTCCAACATTGGCACAGTGCAAGTCTGTACAGTAGCTCAAGTGGTTGTAAATCTAAAACTCAATGAGAAATCATATATAACTAAATCAACAGTTAACCTCGTTACAGCCCCATGCAATAAAGACATGTTAAACCTAGTATGTTTTCCTTTTTATTCATAACAACATAGACAAAATAGATACACTATAAGGTCAGAAGTATGTGGACACTTGACCAACACATTTATATGAGGTTGCTGGACATCCTTTCTAAAATCATGGGCATCAATATGGTATTTGTGCCCATTCAGTCAATAGAGCTTTTGTGAGGTCTGGCAATAATGTTGGACAAGAAGGCCTGGCTGACAATAGTTGTGGTAAAGGTAACACTTTCCAGATGTAATGTTTTGTTCTGACAGCAAAGATAGGCAGTTTGAATATAAGCTTATAGTGAATCAGACGCGTACCTGCCACGTTGACCTTCTCTGCGTTGACAGTACTAGGGGCAGGCGTCGCCGTGCCATTAGTCAGGTTGGTGGCCGAACCATTGTAGATAATGATGTCCACTTTGGACTCCAGTTTGGATAGCCTCAGCATGATGTTGTCCAGCAGCACAGCCAGAGTCTTCTTCAGGTCTACACAGAACAGAACCAAGAAGAACGCGAACACATCATCATATGATCCAACACATTCAAATATGTATAAAACTCTGTACCAAGAAATGAATGATTAAAACGATGTTTTGGTTTTATAACCATAAAGCCCAAGTTGTAAACCAACAACCAAAGAGGTTTTCTTTAATATCTCTGGTGGAGGTTACTACACTTTATCTCTGCTGGTCAAGAAAAGAAGTCCATACGTATGTGTATGTGTACATGTATCTGTAGCCACACTGTAGTTAGAGACAACTGGCTTGTTACAATCCAGCGGTTAAATTGCTGGATGCCCCATTATGTAAAAACCTGTTTCTCAAAACCGTTCGATACCAGTCCCAAAGTTAAAAGTACACTTTAAAAGAGTCAAACCAGTTTGTTTCACAAACAAAGGGCATTTTCAGTTTAGTCACTTTTTAAGTGACCTACTTTCAAAATTTTGTGAAAAGTAATTTGGAGTGAGTTACAAAAAGCCAACAACTGGGGTTGAAATGTATTAATTTATATTTCTAAATATATTTTTGTAAATTAAATATTAAAACATTTTTAGCACAATTATAGAAACACCATAAACAGTCTATAGTCAAGTAACTAACCAGATAGAGGTCATTATGCCATTCTCTTAACTTCTCAAATCGGTCCTCAGAGTCAACATGTTTTCTTTATCTCTATGCTTTGCAAGGTGGGTTGGAGCAAAATTGTGGACCCTCAAGGGGTCCTTGAGGATTGTTTTGAGAACCACTGTCTTAATGAATCATCTTTATTTTTATCTTAACTTACTTTTAACAGTTGTTTGATTTTCATCCAGTTTATTTTGACAAACACCAAACAGAAAAATATTTGCTCATAGCCTGTATCTAGAACATGTAAAATGAAAGTATCATGATGTCATAGTTCTTTGTCATCATACACCTTTAGATCAGGATATTCAGGGGATCTTTAATAAGAATATTAATTAAAAGACTCACAGACCTAAAAGTCCTAAAATGAATAATGCCATGGTTTTAGTATTACTGAGGCAAATTACAGATACCAAAACCGTGCATCCAACAGCCGTGGCATCCTCCTCTCAAATCACCCAGTACAGACATGTCCATTCTGAAATGAGCCCTGACATTACACCAGCTTCTAAATAATCCTCCCTGTGAAGGGTCACGTGAGCTCCTGAGCTGGAAGGAGATTAATCAAAACACCAGCCATTTTTGACCTCATTCTGATGGGACCATCGATTAGGACACTACAGGTAATACATTAAGTCTATAAAGTGTACAGCACGGCTCTAGAGTTTGATACGGGTGAGAGACAGAGACAGACAGAGAGAGAGAGAGAGAAAGAGGCAAACACACAGAGAAAGAAAATCAGGTTAAATGTAATTATAATGCTGAGAACAAATAACACACACCACACTCCTCAAAGACCATTGTACAAAACGACAAGAAAACAAACCACTCAACACCTCATGTCACACCTTATCATGCCAATGACTGGCAGCACCTACAGCAATTCTTCCAAGCAGGGGAGAGGGAGAGGGAGGGAGAGAGAAAGACAGAGACCCTGGCTAAGAAATCCCAACAGTTGTTAGCTCTTGGAGTGCATCAGGGGTCAGTACTGAGCCTGATTAAAAAGCTTGAAGAGCAAAAAGAAACCAACAATAGCTACAATATTGAGAATTCTTCTTAACCTTGACTAAGAAATCCACACAATCGTTTCATCTTCAGCTCTGAGTGCATCAAGGGTCAACGCTAAGGCAGAATAAACCGCTTGAAAAGCAGAAGAAAACCAACAGAAACATTGATTCGATTGTGGAAAGTGGATGCAGAAGATGAAATGGCCTGAAACTGTAAGGGTGGGCGCATATCTGATAAGACGTCAAACACAGATGTACACTGCCTGTCAAATGTTGGGGGACGTCTTTTTAGATTAGATTTAGATGGCCATTCCAGAACACAAATCGACCCTGACAATTTTAATTTTCCATAACAAGCAGAAACTGCCATTTATGGCTACTGTAAAAGAGCCTAACAAAACAAGGAATGATCCATAACTAGCAGTGTTTGCCTTTAATGAACTATTTTGTCCAGAGTCTAGACAAGTCCCAGTCATCATTAGTTCGATCTGGATTTGGTACAGTTTCATTTTGATACAGAAAAGAGCGATCTGACTGGCAGGGCAAACCCACACAAATGGAAAAAAAACGTATACAGTAAATATCACGTCTGCCCAAATCTCTCCATTCTTGATTTGCTAGAAGAAAATGAGCGACTATATGAAACACACACCCCCCACTGCCAGTTTGTGCCTGTCCACGTGACCTGAAAAACGAGGCTAATCTCAGTCGGAATCACTCAAGCTTAATTCTTAACCTGGCAAACACAGCCAAACTCAAAAAATACCTGCTGTGGATTTTTTTGCAAATATTTGATCAGGTCTAGTTATTATCCTGAGTCAACGGTATAAATGTGGTTGACAGCTGCATTTATGCCGCAGGGAGCAAAATTGTACCATGAAATTACATCCATCCATCCATCCATCTTACTCACTCTCTCTCTCTCTCTCTCCCCCATCTCCATCTCATATAGTCTAAATCCTGTGGGATTTTCTCCAAACGAGATGGCCAGATGGGAGAGATGCGCTATAATCCATATTTCTATGTCACAGGTTGCTGACGATATCATCACCGCATCATCGTTTCAAAATCCTTCAGCATAAACCCATCAGTAGCATGAGAGAGAGAGAGAGAGAGAGAGAGTGGGGAGAGATGAAGCTACATTGTTTCAGTGAGAGAAACCTGACAACATGAATATACCAAGAAGAATATTCATTTAAATAACAATGTGACGAAAAAAAAAGCAAAAAATAAAGAAAGCTTGAATTTGCAAGTAAAAATTAAGAAGCATTTATATTTTTATGCAGTCGTTCACTATTGATTATGCTGGTGACTGCCTTTTTAAAAAAAGAACAACAAAAAAAACCTTCAGTTATAGAAGTCTTCAGCTGTGCAGGGCCTTTAGAATGCGGCACGTTTTTAATATGAGACAGGTCAGCCTAGCAACCACACTCTGATTATGCAGCCATGCTGTTAATGTGCCACATTCTACACTTGTTACAGCATGTTGTCATGTTGATAAGCATGGACGTCCCTGAAAAAGACGGCGCCTAAAAGGCAGCATATGTTGCTCCAAGATGTGTATACATTAGTATAAGGGGGCTTTCACAGTTGTGAACGTTTTCCACTTACACATCCCCATACCATGACCAGACCCTGACTTTTAGACTTTATGCTGGCAACAATCTAAATAGCGGTCTGAGGGATTAAAGGTCTTGGGCATTCATTTGTGGGTTTTAAACTTACCCTTCACACACAGATATTCCTCAAGATTCCCTGAATCTTTTTATGATAATTTGCACTGAGGAGGGTGAAATAACCAAGATCCTTGCATCTGCTCAGTGAGGAACATTGGGCCTCATTCACCAATTTCAGAAATTTCTTAAAACCAAATTTTTCAAAATCTTGGGAAGATACTGGTGAATGAGGCCCATAGTAGGATTATTTGCTGATGCATTTTTTGCCAAGTTGTGAGCCTCAACCCATCCAAGGGTTATCTCCGTTTATACCCAAGCATGATTGCATCACCTGTTGAAGATTTTTTTTTTGAACATTTCACAACATTCCTGTCTTATACTGCCCCGTCCAAACTTTTTTGGAATGTGTTGCAGGTAATAAAAAACAATGAAGCTGATAAGGTTAAGTGTCACACTCTCTTTCTCATTTTATACCATCTGAACAGTGGTGGACAGTAACGAAGTAAAAGTAATTTGTTACTAGGGGAAAAAAACGATTCTTAGATGCATCGCGACGCGGATGTGGATGATTCTGAATCGATTCACAAATGTCAAAAATCGATTTTCTAAATATTTAATTTATAACGTAATGTTGACGGAACGCAAAAGGCGGAACTTGGAAGTGCGGAAGTGCAGCGCCCGGACAGTCTGTGGCGGCACATAACAAAAACCGACCGGCTCCCTCTGCATTAAAGCCAGGTTAGGTCAGGAGTCACAACACGAATGATAACATTTTGTCCTTTCAACAAAAATCAAACCACCTTGGGACCGGCAACATTTAATGTCCAGTATGTCGCAGTATGTGCTGATGTTCTAGTATAGGCTAAACAATATAAACGAAAATGCAGATTTACTTCGCTCTGCTTTAAGCTTTAGCTGTAGCCGCTTTCCTCCCATCTCCGCCAGAAAACTTTTCCTCAGAAGTTGATCAGTTAAATGTCTCTCAACGTTCGACTGTTTTACGAGGCTGAAGTCGCTTCTTATTCGAATTTACCCGTTCCACCATAAATTCTAACTGAGGCGCCAAATGTTAATACGGCACCATTTAAGGTGGAACGGGAGAATTCGAAAGAGAAGCTGACTTCATCTTCGCCATCTTTTAGAGAGAGACAGTCTCTCCTTGCAGATTTAACGTACCAGGAAACCAACTGCGCTGCTTATAAATGCGAATAACGCATGCTAGGTGACCTGCAGTCTGTACACCGCTATGTTACGCGCTATGTTACACACGTCCCGTCTCAAAGATACTTTACTGACACAGCGACCCCCCTGTCTCTACAACGAGACCAAAACCGAAGTTATAAAATCACTAAAGAAAACGGGTAGAATAGCTGTAACATGTGCTGCGTGGACATCCATCACCACTGGATCTTATTTCACCGTAACTGCGCATTTTATCGCAGATGAGTGGCAGCAGCGTCTCATGCTCCAAACAAGAGCGCTGAATGAGAGCCTTCTAGTTCACTTGCCACATCACTTCCATTTGATTTATTAAAAAAGATATTGGAAGTAAATTCATTATGGATCATTGCAAATACTTTGCTTTAGAAGTACCAAGTCACTATAAATAACAATAACACCGAGTTACTTAGTCACTTTAAAATGTATATTGTCTCTATATTGTGTGTATATTTTATGTA